AAACTGGACAAGTCAATTAATCTCTCTGGGCCTCACTTTCTTCATCTGTAAAATTAAGGGTGGCGGGGCTGGCCTGAATGAACTCTAAAGCCCTTCTTAGCTCTTTAAAAAAAAATCTATGATCGTTTCATTTGTAGGTGTGTGCACACAGGCAGTCCCTCTAGTTGTAGAGGCCAAGTGTGTAGAAGGAGGCATCTAGCCCAAACCTCTCATCTTCCAGTGTCTTGCCAGTGACAGCTGAGCTGGAATGCCAGTTTCAGTGGCCAGACTTCAAAGCTGGGGCTCTCTGTGCCCTACCAAGCAGTCCAACCAGATCACACAGGTGTCAAAGGACTGCCCAGGATCTGAAATCCCCCTTCAGCCTCTTTCTTGGTTTCCCTGATGCTGCTGCAGCTGGAACTCATTCCCCTCCATCTTTCAACCTTTTCTATTCCAAATCTTATGTTTTTTTGCCTCTCCACCAGAGAGGCTTAAGACAAGACAAAACAAAACAAAACACAAGACCCTTTTATTCTATGGTTTAACGGGAGCCGTGGAAAAAGAGCTGAGGATGGAGTCAGGAAGACCTTAGGCTTCAGACACTTAAGGCAGCTCACTGTACCTATTTGACTCAGTTTCTCCAACCGTAAAATAGGGTTAATAGTAACACCTATCTCCCAAGGTTGTAGAAAGTTCAAATGAGATATTTGTAAAACAAACAAAAAAACCACTTAGCACAGTGCCTGATACATTGAAGGCACTCTATAAATGCTTATTCCTTCCTCTCTCTCTTTAGAAATATTAATTACTAGCTCTGTTTTGAAGCAAGTTCTACATGTTCCAGGCTCTCTGTTCCCTCCCTCCCCCACTCTATGCCAGGCAGCAAGTCCAAATGCAAAAAGCCTTGTCATGCCCCACAGACCTCAGCAGCAAGGGCTTGGGCCCAGCCTATCCCCTCTGACCAGCATTAGCGAGAAGAGAAAAAATCTTTCATTTTAGGCACACAGGGCCAAGTCAGAGAAATGCACCAGGGGTGGGGGAGAGAGCTCACAAACATTCGCCCATCATTGCACCAGACTTGCAAATGACCCCAGTCTCTCTCCCGGCGCAGCAACAAACAACCCCAAGGCTTCAAGCTGGACGGATGGGAAACATCAATTTTCAGCTCACTCAATCTACTCTTGCAGCTTGGGGTACCAGCCCCGCCCTCCTCCACCCATACCCAAGCAATATCAACCAGGCCTGGACGACACTCATAAGAGAAACGCTCTTCTCTCCCCAGGGGCTCCCGGGGCAGCTCACTCACGCACTTCTGAGACCCCAGCCCCCCACCCCCCCATTATTACCATAAGAGTTTCCACTCTGTCTCCAACATCTTGAGTTTTGAGTAGCGGGGCCCGGGACTTTTGGATCATTGAAGAGGATGCGCTCGGGTCGGGCTGAGAAAGGCAGCGTCCAGAGAAAGCCCGCCAGGCTCCCCGGGAGCTCACTCCCAGCTCCGTGGGACCCAGGAGGAGCGAGGTGGGCCGGGACCGGTATCCCAGGAGGAAGTCACTGCTAGAAAGGGAAGGCAATTGATTAAGGGCTAATTGGTCATCTTTTTCCTAAGCTGCACTCCCCCTCCAAGTCGTCAAATCCCTTCCTGCTTTGGTTTATAAAGTTTATTTTCTCTCTATCCCTCCCCCCTTCCCCCGCCCTTCTCTCTCTCCTCCCTCTGACTCTTTCTCTCCCGCATTTACTTATCTGTCCGCAAGCTGTTCTCCTCCAGTGGAATGTAAACACCCCAAGGGGCAGGATCAAGTTAAGCTTTCGTCTTCGTAATCACAACATACAGAATAGTGCCTGGCACACAGCAGGCGCTTAACACACGCGTGCTGAATAGAACGAAGTCTGCTATTTCTGCTCATACTATTTCCCAACCGGGTACCCGGGATCGCGTTGAGTTAACGAGACTCTGGAGTCCAACTCCTTAGAGTCAGACGCTTCCTGCGTCTGGTGGCCCTAGGCCAGTCTCTCAAACTCTGCAAGCCTCAGTTTTCTCCTCTGCGACGCGGGGGCATTGCTGCTAACCAGCACTACCCCAAGCGTCCAGGATTGCTGGGGAGAGGGAGCACAGGCAATGTGAGTTGCGGACGTTTACCTGTTAGGGAGGGGAGGCTTCCTCCGACAGACAGCGAGGCCCTTTTCACGGGCTTCCCTGGCGCTGCTGCATCTGTCTCCCCATCTTCCAACCCTCTTGCCTTCCTCGGGGGCTGCTGCTGAAACGTGGGGAGGTCCCAGAAAACGCCCCCCGCCCCTACAAACCCGCTTCTGTGGCCTCTCTCTTGGAAATCTTCCTCCCCCGGCAGTTTAATCACTCGCCACGAGCCTCGCGTCCCAGGACCGTCTGGAGCCAGGAAGCCCTCGGAGCCCTTGACCCCCTGCACCCTCCCTCTACTCCCCTGCGCAGACCCCTCTGAGCCGCGCAAGTTACTCCCCCAAGCCCCGGGCCACGCAGCAGCAGATCAGACCCACGACATTTTTTTTTAAAGTGGGTGGAGAAAAGCGAGAAGATCTGCTTCCGGGGTTAGCTTTAGTGCCGGGGCTCCTGCAGCAGCAGAACTGGTGCCAATCAATCCTTGCCTGCAGTGACACCTGGCGGAAATGTCTAGAACTGCGCTGGGTAATTAACCTCACCTTGCCTTGAGACAATGTTTCATTTCCTATGTTGTAACTGTCTGTGTCTGTAAAAGACCTTAGAGGTCAAATAAGCCAGCCCTCTTAATCTTACAGAAGCCCAGAGAAGGTTAGCCACTTGTCTAAGGTAGCAAGGGGGTACAGTCGGGATTCAAACCCAGGGACCCTAAATCCACCTCTTTCTCCTACACCATGCTCCTTCTGAGGCTGGAGTTCCTAACCTTTTCTGTGTCCCGTTTGGACCTCCCTGAAGTCTGGTGAAGCCTATGGACCCCTTCTCAGAGTAATGCTTTTAGAGTCATGAAATAAATTCCATAGGATTGCAAAAGGAAGAAATTATATTGATATACAAGTATCAAAATAGTAAAAGGCCAAGTGCATGGACCCCCAAATTTAAGAACCCCTAGCAAGCATTTAGGGTTTGTAATAATAATGAAACAACAACAGCTAACATTTATATAGCACCTACTATGTGCCAGGCGCTATGCTAAGAACTTTACAAATATTATCTCGTTTGTTCCTCACAACAACCCTGGCAAAGAAGAAAGAAGTTTTATGATTATTCCCATTTTACAGAAGACAAAACAGGCTCAAAGGGGCTAAATAACTTGCCCAGGGTACCACAGTTAGTATCCCAGGCTAGACTGGAATTCACGTCTTCCTGATTCCAGGTCGTGCTCTTTCTAGAGTCTCCAAGGGAATCTCTGAGATTGCTGGATATGGAACCAGAGGCCAGGGTTCAGATACTGACTCTTATACTCAATAACCTCCTTAACTCATTTTTTCTAGGTGGATATAAATATGGGAAGACTGGATTGGGAGTCAGAGTATTTAGATTCAAGTCCCAACTCTGTCCATAACTATCTATGTGATCCCTAGGGCATATCACTTGGCCTTGGTGAAACCATTTAAAAAAAAAACAAATCCTTGTTTCCTTTCTTTAGCAACCTTAAGAAATAATATTCTCCTCAGAAGCACTTTGCAAATTCTTGGAAAATCCTTTTGAACAAAAAGGCTTTTCTCAGGATTAAGGGTAGGTACAAACCTTTTAATGATGCCTACCCTCTTGGTCCCTTTAATTCTCAATTGATTTAATCCATCCTGATTACATCTTGTTTGCACATAATTGTTGCCAGGTTGGTTCCCCCATGAGGCTGTGATCTCCCTAAGAGAAGGGACTGTCTTTTTTTGTTTCTTTGCATCCCTAGCATTTACTACAGTGACTGGCACATAATATATATTTAATAAATGCTTATTAACTGTCAAATAAATGTTAAACAAAATTATTTTAATTAAATTAATTAAATTTTAAATGTTATAAAATTGTTTCTGGTAGACTTGAGCCTAAATTTGTTATTGTTGTTCAGTCACGTCCCACTTCTGGTGACCCTATTTGGGGTTTTGTTGGCAAAGATATTGAAGTGCTATTTTCTTCTTCAGTTCATTTTACAGATGAGGAACTAAGGCAAACAGGGTGAAGTGACTTGCCCAAGGTCACACAGCTAGTAAGTATCTGAGGCCGGATTTGAGCTTGGGTGTCCTGACATAGGGGCAACTAGATGGCAAAGTGGATAGAGTATAGGGTCTGGAGTCCAGAAGACTCATCTTCCTGCCTCTCCCTCTCCCCAAGTTAGTCTTTCCCAACTCCTCCCTTTAGCCTTGGCTCTATGGGGCCCTGTTCTCTGCCATTTAGAGGGAGAAACTTTCTTGTAGGGAAATAGGTAGGTAGACAACTCTGTCATTGAAAAAGAACTCTAAGGAGCCTACCTAACAAGGTTTTTTTGGTTGTTTGTTTTTGTTTTTGTTTTTGTTTTTATTATTATTGTTTTCTCCTCCTTAACACAACTATTTGCTCATTCTTTGCCCAGGGTAATGAGACAGTCAGGATTAATCTTTGCTTTTAAGTAGCTGAATAATATTCTTGCAATAAAAAATCTGGTTCATTTGAGCCCCAAGCCAGAAATCTTGGAAAACTGGAATCTATCTCTTTTTCTCCATCCTCTTCCCTTCCCCCCAACCTCTCATAGGTCCATCCTGTGGTCTCTAAGCCTTTTATTCTCAGTAGATCTTTTTTTCTTTCTTTCTTTTTTTTGGGGGGCAAGGCCATTGGGGTTAAGTGACTTGCCCAGGGTCACACAGCTAGTAAGTGTTATGTATCTGAGGCCGGATTTGAACCACCTAGCTGCCCCTCTAAGTCTTTTATTCTCAATCCCGAGGCTTTCCAAGCAAACCAACATTGGTGAGCCCTTTTTTACAAATAAAATATCGCCAAATATCAGATATAGATACCTTAGAGGCAGGCAAATGAGATATTTGACTTCTAAGTAACTTACCCTGAAACCTCTTCTGCCATTGAAGAGTCCCTTCAGGGGCCTCCATTTTGGAGATTCCCCTCTTGACTCTCTGGTCTTCTCCACCATACCCCCATGTGGGTACCTTCTCACATCCCTTTTAAACTTTCCCATAGTGTTGTCTTTTCCAATTAGAATGTAAGCTCCTTGAGGGCAGGGCCAGGTTTGGTTTTTTTTTGCTTTTTTTTGTTTTTTTTTGTATTTGTATCCCCAGCACTCAGCATAGAATCTGGTACGAAATTAGTACTTAATGTTTTTTGACTTCTTGTTGTTACAGTCATTTTCAGTCATGTCTGACTCTCCACGACCCTATTTGGGGTTTTCTTGACAAAGATACTAGAGTGGTTTGCCATTTCCTTCTCCAGCTCATTTTATAGACAGGAAACTTTGCTCAGGGTCACACAGATAGTAAATGTCTGAGGCCAGGTTTGAACTCATAAAGACGTATCTTTCTGAGTTCAGGAGCAGCACTCTATCCACTGGGCTACTTGACTGACTTGCTCCCAAATAACTTATATCCTAGATGGAAACCACTGGAGTGGAAATGATGAGACCAATAACAGATCTATATTAGGGTGAGCAGTGCAATGACATCACTAAGAGAAATCATTGGCTCTACAGAGTTGAAGGCATTGTGTGTGTACGTATGTGTGTGTGTGT